AGTGTAATAACTGGTATAAGGTGCAAAATATGTTAAAAGGAACGTCCCGGGAAGTGGTTCATAAAATAATCACAGTTCCATCTCCGTTTGGATGGCGCTATCATCGCCGGATGTATTGCGCTCGCTGATCAGTTGGGTGTACCATTTGAGCATTTCCCCGCTTAATTCTTCCGTTTTAACGGAGATACTGGGCAGGATTTCAATCAATGCATTAATACGCCCCTCCACATTCAGGAAGCGATTGATTACAACTACACGACGCTCTTCCAGGACACAGTAGCCAGAATTGAAGTTTCCCCTTTCATAACGGATGATGAAACGGGCTTCTTCAAAAAGCTGCTCCAGTTTTTTGAGGGTGTTTGGCGTATATTTGAACATTATTTGACCTTGATTCGGATGTCTAAAATTAGCTATTTCGCAGCACTTGTTGGCAGTTTGGTATTTTTTAATGTACAGTCGCTCTTTGCGCAGAACCCTTCTTCTTATTACGTAGAGGTACCCCGTACTTTTATCGGCGGCCTGGTTGCCGGTGCCAATTTTACCCAGGTAGATGGCGACCGTTATGCCGGCTATCATAAAGTAGGTATTAACTTCGGCGGGATTATGTACATGAACCTGGCAGAGCATCTTGCCGCCAGTGTGGAGATCCTTTATTCTCAAAAAGGAAGCCGGGCGCATACCTCTATGGAATCTGCAGATGGCAGTTTTCTGATCAATAAATACAATATCCGGCTGGACTATGCCGAAGTGCCGATCCAGCTGAATTATTTTGATCGGCGCCGTAGCCATTTCGGCGCAGGTTTTTCCATCTCCCGCCTGATCACGGTGAATGAAAACGGGAACAGCTCCCAGCCGGTGCCTACCAATTTTGAAAACTATCCGTTCCGTAAAATGGATTATAATTTTATTGCAGGCGGAAACCTCCACCTTTGGAAAGGCCTCTTTTTAAACGCCCGCTTTCAGTACTCGCTGGTGTCTATCCGTGATAAAGACAAAATGCCCCCGGGCTGGTCTGGACGGAATCAGCAATTTAATAATATGTGGACAGTGCGCATGATGTACTTGTTCTGATTTTTTGGGATTAAAAAATTACTATTTGTGGATATGTCATGGACGAAAGGAACCGATTTTAGGGTTTCATGATGTATCTTCGAACTCTTATTTTACTACTTAGAATGGCACTTATCAAATCAATTTCAGGTATCCGGGGAACTATTGGCGGCACACCCGGTAACGGGCTGACTCCTATAGACATTGTACGGTTTACAACCGCGTACGGTGAATGGGTAAAACAAAGAGGGAACGGAAATAAAATCGTAGTAGGACGCGACGGGCGGATCTCCGGTGAGGTAGTGCGCAACCTGGTCGTTGCCACCCTCCAAAGTCTGGCTTTTGATGTCATAGATCTCGGGCTGAGCACCACACCCACGGTGGAAATGGCCGTGACCTGGGAGCAGGCTGCCGGCGGTATTATCCTTACTGCAAGCCATAACCCTAAGGAGTGGAATGCCCTGAAGCTGCTGAATGAAAAAGGAGAATTTATCAGTGCTGAAGATGGCGCCTGGATATTGGACAATGCGGAAAACGGTGAGGTGGCTTATGCCGATGTAAACAAGCTGGGTACCGTAACCTTCAATACCGCAT